CATGTGAGGTCTGAGGTAAAAATTTAGTTTCCGCCCAGATAAACTTTTACAAATAATGTATTATTTTTCAAACGTTTTATTTTAACTTGTTATTTAAAATGTTTTAAATGCAATGTTAAAATTACGGTAATTTGAATGATAAAATCATGTTTTTTTTTCTGTCGTGTAATCGACTATTGTTTTCAGTGTCGACTAGTAGGAGCTGTACCGTTTAGTCGACTAGACCCGCACATCCCTAGTATATATATATATATATATATTCATATTCATAGGGTGGACGTATAATTTAATAAATTATATTGATCATCTGAATCTAAGCATGTCATGTAAATAAAAAAGCCATCCAGTTATTTATTATTATTATTATGTCAGTCATTGTCAGTTATTATCCCGACAGCAATACCATACTCTTACATATTCAATCAGCACTTTACTGTCAAAAGCTTATTTCTATGTGACAGAAATACAATATTAACTGCATTTGCAGTATATCACTAATAATTTTTCTCTGGCCTGTTTTATTTATTCAGTTTTTAATCACATCTTGGGTCCCTAACCGATGAAAACATTGCCGTGGGATAGAGACAGAGCGACACGCTCACACCGTTGCCTCTGTATTGCGGGAAGCTGCCTCAGTGTCATTTCTGACTTACAACAAAAAACAGAACAATGTTTAAAAGCTGCTGTGTGACAAGCTGAAAAACCCAGAACTACGTTTTTATAAGCTGTCGACCCAAAAAACGAGCGTTTAAGAACACAAATGGTTGTAGATGTCGGGGTATTTCATTCAGTTAGATCATTTCTCAAACAAAAGGAAGGTAAGGAAAAGGGACACTGACATAGACCAATACAATTTAGTTTCTCAGTATATCCTCCTCTCAGGTTCACATCGGGTGGAGAAATAATCCTTTGGCATGGTTAAAAATAATGAGTGTTTACTGTCACCGATTACGTTTCCATCCAGTAGTTCTCAGAGTAATATGACACATTGCGCTCTACTTTTGTGTCCTTAAACGCTCGTTTTTTGGGTCGACAGCTTATAAAAACGTAGTTCTGGGTTTTTTTGTTTGTTTACTGTACACGTTGTCACACAGCAACTTTCAGACATTGTTCTGTTTTTTGTTGCAAGTCAGAAATGTCAAGGAAGCAGCTTCTCGCAATACAAAGTCAATGGAGAGCGTTGGAATTTTCAGATTATGACGCGTGTCGCTCTGTCTCTGTCTGGTCTCTGTCTCTGTTCTTCTCTGTCTCTGGTCTCTGTGCTCTGTCTCTGTCTGGTCTCTGTCTCTGGTCTCTGTGCTCTGTTTGTGCTCTGTCTCGGTCTCTGTGCTCTGTCTCTGGTCTCTGTGCTCTGTCTCTGTCTCTGTCTGATCTCTGTCTCTGGTCTCTGTCTGGCCTCTGTGCTCTGTCTCTGTCTGGTCTCTGTCTCTGGTCTCTGTGCTCTGTCTCTTTCTGTGCTCTGTCTCTGTCTCTGTCTGGTCTCTGCTCTGTCTCGGTCTCTGTGCTCTGTGTCTGGTCTCTGTTTGGTCTCTGTGCTCTGTCTCTTTCTGTGCTCTGTCTCGGTCTCTGTGCTCTGTCTCTGTCTGATCTCTGTGCTCTGTCTCTGGTCTCTGTCTGGCCTCTGTCTCTGGTCTCTGTGCTCTGTCTCTTTCTGTGCTCTGTCTCTTTCTGTGCTCTGTCTCGGTCTCTGTGCTCTGTCTCTGGTCTCTGTCTGGCCTCTGTCTCTGTCTGGTCTCTGTCTCTGTGCTCTGTCTGGTCTCTGTGCTGTGCTCTGTCTCTGTCTGTGCTCTGGTCTCTGTCTTTGTGCTCTGTCTGTGCTCTGTCTCGGTCTCTGTTTGGTCTCTGTGCTCTGTCTCTGTCTCTGTCTGGTCTCTGTCTTTGTGCTCTGTCTGTGCTCTGTCTCGGTCGCTGTCTGGTCTCTGTGCTCTGTCTCTGTCTGGTCTCTGTCTCTGGTCTCAGTGCTCTGTTTGTGCTCTCTGTCTGGCCTCTGTCTCTGTCTGTGCTCTGTCTCTGTCTGGTCTCTGTCTGGCCTCTGTCTCTGTCTGGTCTCTGTCTCTGTGCTCTGTCTGGTCTCTGTGCTGTGCTCTGTCTCTGTCTGTGCTCTGGTCTCTGTCTTTGTGCTCTGTCTGTGCTCTGTCTCGGTCTCTGTTTGGTCTCTGTGCTCTGTCTCTGGTCTCTGTCTGGCCTCTGTCTCTGTCTGGCCTCTGTACTCTGTCTCTGTCTGATCTCTGCTCTGTCTCTGTGCTCTGTCTCTGTTTGGTCTCTGTGCTCTGTCTCTGGTCTCTGTCTGGCCTCTGTCTCTGTCTGGTCTCTGTCTGGCCTCTGTGCTCTGTCTCGGTCTCTGTCTGGCCTCTGTGCTCTGTCTCTGTCTCTGTCTCTGTCTCTGTCTGATCTCTGTCTCTGGTCTCTGTCTGGCCTCTGTCTCTGTCTGGTCTCTGTCTCTGGTCTCTGTGCTCTGCTCTGTCTCTGGTCTCTGTGCTCTGTCTCTGTTTGGTCTCTGTGCTCTGTCTCTGGTCTCTGTCTGGCCTCTGCTCTGTCTCTGTCTGGTCTCTGTCTGGCCTCTGTGCTCTGTCTCGGTCTCTGTCTGGTCTCTGTGCTCTGTCTCGGTCTCTGTCTGGTCTCTGTGCTCTGTCTCTGTCTGTGCTCTGTCTCTGTCTGGCCTCTGTGCTCTGTCTCTGTCTGGTCTCTGTCTCTGTGCTCTGTCTGGTCTCTGGTCTCTGTCTGGCCTCTGTCTCTGTCTGTGCTCTGTCTCTGTCTGGTCTCTGTCTGGCCTCTGTCTCTGTCTGGTCTCTGTCTCTGTGCTCTGTCTGGTCTCTGTGCTGTGCTCTGTCTCTGTCTGTGCTCTGGTCTCTGTCTTTGTGCTCTGTCTGTGCTCTGTCTCGGTCTCTGTTTGGTCTCTGTGCTCTGTCTCTGTCTCTGTCTGGTCTCTGTCTTTGTGCTCTGTCTGTGCTCTGTCTCGGTCGCTGTCTGGTCTCTGCTCTGTCTCTGTCTGGTCTCTGTGCTCTGGTCTATGTGCCCTGTCTCTGTCTGTCCTCTGTCTCTGTCTGTGCTCTGTCTGGTCTCTGTCTCTGTTTGGTCTCGGTCTCTGTCTGGTCTCTGTTCTCTGTCTCGGTCTCTGTCTGGTCTCTGTGCTCTGGTCTATGTGCTCTGTTTCTGTCTGTCCTCTGTCTCTGTGCTTTGTCTGTCCTCTGTCTCTGTCTGGTCTCTGTCTGTCCTCTGTCTCTGTGCTCTGTCTGGTCTCTGTGCTCTGTCTCTGTCTGGTCTCTGTTGAGTTCTGATCTGCTGACTCTGTTCTGTTGCAGCGGTGCTGAGGGCCGTGGACGGTCTGGACTGCCGTGAGTCTCTGAGACTGATCTCAGAGAGCGGCTTGGTCTCAGAGGACAGCTTTAACCACGCCGTGGCTGGACTGTACGCTCTTCTCAAAGAAGCTCTGTGTCTGCCATCTCTAAGACAAGAGGTTAGCTCATAGCTTTCTCACATCAGACCGCTGACTCTGTGTGTTTGCTGTGTTTAATTACTCGAGCGCTCGTCTTCACTTACTCAGAAGTGTAAACGTTCATCATTGAAAGTTCTTGAAAAGCTGAGGTTTTGTGCCGCCTGGCGGCTGAGAGGAAAATACAATTAAATGCACTAATACATCTTTAACCCTGTCAGACCCTGAATATTTCTTACTTCTGTAGAGCATGCACACTCATCAGATGCATGCAACACTGAATATCTGAATTCTCTTTGTTTCAGGTTTTTAATGAGGATCTCCGAGCGCTTCGGTAGGGGATGTCTCATAAAGTTTTTTCTCAAACACTAATCAATGAAGAGTCACTTTTTTTGGTGTTGATCCTGATATGTGTTTATAGTGATGTGTTGTATTTATGGGTGCTGTGTATCACCAGGGTTTCTGAGGAGTTCATCGCAGACGTGTCCAGTGCTGTGTTTGGAAGCAGGTATGATTGGAGCGCATCAACTCTATTATGCTGTATATCAGCTCATTTCTCAATGCTCCTCCAGGCAGACCTCCATCAATATCAGTGACACACATCGAGGGCCGACTCTGGCAAAGATCCAGGACTTTAAATGGAGAGTCGACGTTGCCATTTCCACAAGGTACACTAGTAATGATGGTTTTATATAGACATATGCTGATCTCAGAATGTAAAGGTCTTCTGTGTACAAATAAACATGTAAGGAATAAGGTGTTGTGCACGGACACTCGTCTCTAATCGATTGGTCTTAAACATACAAATATTTCACAAAGTTCCCTAAAATGAGCAGAACTCCATTTGTTGTTTAGGAAACTAGTGGATTAGAGCAGTTCTGTACTGTATGTATTACGGCTCAAGATCATAAGTGTCAGTTACTGCATTATTAATACTTTCTGCTTCTACAGTGTAACTGCTATTAGAGTTTGCATAAATACATTTGCCCTACAGCGGCTAATGAACCGGACGTCTCGCACATTGACAGAAAACAGCTTACTTCTGCATTGAAAAATAAGGTGGATAAGACGAGAGTCGAATATATGAAGCAAAGGGAAGAGTGCTATATAAATAAAGTGATCTCCATAAATTAATACACGAGAGTAAAGATCATGAATACAATGACTGAATACTGTGAATAATTCATACTCAAGGGCTCATATTAAAGAGCTGATTTTATAGCCATAAAGTGTGAAAGTGTGGGAACGGTGTCTGCACATCCACCGCAAGCGTTGTTAATGAGTTCATCTTCACACTGGTATAAGAAGCCACAGCACCGTCTGCTTATTCTCTCCACAAATACAAACTCAAGCTTATCTTAAAAAACGCTGTAGCTAACACTGAATGATCACTATTAACTAACCATGAGCATGGTTATTATTTGTGTTTGATTAGTTGTGCAGATGTGTATATTTAATGTGAACAGAAGCACATGAGCATCATATGATTGATCATTATTAATGTTTGTGTGATATTTAGCTCGCTGTCTCGAGCTTTGCAGCCCTCCATTCTCATGCAGATGAAACTGTCTGATGGCCATTTGCATCGATTCGAGGTAATTTCAGAGTATGTAGTAATCACTGAAACGTGTAGAAGACATTTAGCTCTATTAAATTATCTGATATTTACAGATGTATCAAAAACAAAGTCTATATTATCAGCAGCTGAGTTTTTTTCATTGAAAAGCTACTGGAAAAAATAATAATTTAATAATTTTCTTTAAGATTTGTATCATTTTCTGATTAATAACACTTAATAGTTTTATAGTTTATTGTTTGGATTTTTTTTAGTAGGCCTGTTTATTAGATATACCTGTTTTCTGTATTCTCTTACTTTTACTTACAAAAAAATACACAATAAAACATTGTAAGCATTACTTACCTCTTACTGTATCCCACACATACAGTGGGTACGGAAAGTATTCAGACCCCCTTAAATTTTTCACTCTTTGTTATATTGCAGCCATTTGCTAAAATCATTTAAGTTAATTTTTTTTCCTCATTAATGTACACACAGCACCCCATATTGACAGAAAAACACAGAATTGTTGACATTTTTGCAAATTTATTAAAAAAGAAAAACTGAAAAATGCTCA